CAGCCTCATTTCCCTGCTGAGAGACAATTCTTATTAGCTTGGACTCAACGTAATCCTAACTTTGCCAGACAAGTTGCAACTCACAGCCTTCTGCACCAAGCTTGACTGAAAAGCACAGGCAGACACGTCCTATGAAATCAGTGTGGCCATCTTTAATGATTAAACCTGCAGTCTCACTAAACAGACATATGACAAAAACCAACACCAAACTTAACAAAATCCCCTTTCCACATAAACACATACTGAATACCAGGCAGCATAACCATTCCTTAACTTATTTTCTGAAGGGAAGTCTATAATCAGCAAATGTATTAAGCAAAGCACCTTTGGGGATGCAAAACAGCAGTCTGTCCGTCTTTCAGAAACGGGCTCATAATGCTCCCAAAGATCCTATGCTGTTAATCAAGCTTGGAGAAGGGAATCCTCAGAAGCACTGCCATTTACCAAATATATTTTCACAATTGTATATTTTTGCCAGAGTACCGTTAACCGCTTTCCAAGGTCTTATATATGCCACTCAACTTCAGGAAGCAAGCTGATTACAATCTTTATTAGCATTTTACTTCACAGCCACATAAATAAGTAGCCTATATTCAAACACAGTAGTATACTTCCCCTGTTGCAATTTAACTTAACCACATGCTTCTGATTCAGCATCAAACCACGTTCATCTGTCTGCCTTTCTTTCTTTTAACGGGGTCCCTCATCATATTAGCAACTAGTAACCCTCTTACTACAATCGCAGAACAATTTCCGTCGCAAGAGATCTCTGGAAGCCAACAAGCACAATCCCCTGTTCAATGCAGGTCCAACCAACCACATTAGGCTGCTCAGCCATTTGCCAAGTCAAGTTTCAAGGATCTCCAAGGATGGATGTTGCATAGCTCCTCCAGACCATCCTCACAGCAAGAAATATTTTCCTAGTACCTAATCAGATTTCCCTATGTTCCAGCTTGTGTCCGCTATCTCTTACCCTTTCGCTGTTCACCTCTGAGAAGGGTCTGACTCTGTCCACTCTACTCCCTCCCATTAAGTAGGGTAGACAGTGCTATGGTCAGCCCTGAGCCTTCTCTCCTCAAGTGGAACAAACCCAGCTCTCTCAGCCTCTCCTTGTACGTCCTGTGCTCTAGCCTCCTTATCATCTTCACGGCCCTTTGCTGGATCCACTCCAGTAGGTCCAGGTCTTGTCCTGGAGAGACTAAAACTGGACACAGCCCTCCAGATGCTGTCTCACCAGTGCTGAGTAGAGGTGAAGAAATATCCCCCTCGATCCACTGGCTACGCTCTCGGATGAAGCTGCAAAAACTCTTTGCTGCAAAAACCGCTGAATTGTGTTCAACTTAACTTGTTCATGCGGCGCCCCATGTCCTTTTCTGCAAAGCTGCTTCCTAGTCAGTCAGCCCCTCGCCTGCCCCACAGTACAGGGTTGCTCCAGTCCAGATGCAGGACTTCTGAGTTAGCTACACAGTTATCATTACACCTTTGTAACTCCGGTACAAAGGAAGTCAGAAGTCCTTTTTAATTAATTGAGAAAGCTGGCTAAAATAAAGTCTAATGTAAATGTAAGTCTTTCAGTTTACATTACATTTAAGAAACCAAAGTGAGACTATTCAGCTGTTGAATGACTGTGTTCAGTACACACATGAATGATACAAAATTGCAGCTTATCAAAGAGAATTAAATGAAGAAAAGAGATTGATGTTCATCATACTAAAGATGCAGGGACTTTCACTCATCTGCCAAAATTATTTTACACATATCATTATTTGTTCTGTCACTTACAAACGGTAGAATATTTTAAAACATTTTTATACTGCTGTAGTTCCTATGAGAGTTAGTCATGGCCCAAATCAACTCTTACAGAAAGAGGATACCGCCACGTAATTAAAGAGTAAAATTAAGGTTACCTGCTTATACGCTATGCCACAATTTGTCTTGGAGCCTGTTATTGTAGAAGAATTTTTGAACAGTACAAGCAGCTTTCTAGGCATACAAAAGAGAAACATTCCCAAACTTTTGTTGCCAACTGTCTTAAAGAGGACACCTCAACGTTTCATCCATCAGTAGGTCCATCTTCCCAGCCCAATCCCATTCTGGGAGCACTGGCTCTCTCCACCAGCTCCAGCAGCGTCAGGGCAGGGAATAACAACAGCTTCTCCGGGCAGCGCCGTACAACTGGCCGTACACTCAAGTCAGCCCTGTCCAGCACAGCCGACCTGCTCAGGCCACATATCCTGCTTGGAAACCTGCAAGCTGGGAACCTCCTGTTAAACGCAGACTACGTTAAACGTATGCTACTGAATATAACTTTTTTTCAGTTCCGCATACCCAACAGTATATAGCTCAGGACCTGCTACAGAATAAGCTGTTTACAGGAAGAAGGTGGCAGAAAAAGGGAGTAGGAGATGCCTGTCAGCACATAAAACTTTCTGGTTTTTTTTAGAAAAAGAAAGGACTGTATTCCAAGTACACCGATGTTCTTTAGAAGCGCGTGCAGTGGTTTGACTCTCCAATACACACGTTTTACGCTCCATCCTTGTAACGGAAGGGTACTATTGCATTTAAGCCTGACTTACTATTTGGATCAACGACTTGTAGACAAAACTACAAATATTATCTCTGAAGCATAACATTCTTAAGGCATCAGTACACAATCTAACTGTGACAGCATCGTGAACATATAAAAAAATTCTTGGTCCAAAGGTTCTCTGACCTGAGTTTCAAAATCTTGATACACTAAGCAGGCAGACTTCTATACCACCATGTGTTTGACTGAAGCCTAAAGTCACACTAATAAATTAGTTAAAATAAACAACTTGCAAACACAGACTCATTTGTTATTTTTTGCATTTGAAGTTTATGAAGTTTTAGAAAAATTTCAACCAATTCAGGCTGCTTTCAAAGAAGGAAGAGAACAACGTATGATCTTTCTCTCTGAAGAAAGAGAGGAGGGGCAATATAGTTAGTTATTTTAACTGAAAGAAAGTCTCTCTGCCTATAAGGCTTTCACAGATTTTATATGCCAGTATTTTTTCTCTGTAAATATACTTTTAAACTACTTCAAGTTCTTCACTACATTCAAGCCTGCACATTTCAGCACTCTAAGCCTACATCAAAACATAATCATAGGTCAGGCAGAAGAGCAAAGAGTAGTTTAACACTACAAGGAAAAAGAAAAAGGAGAAAAGATATTTTAAATATGTCTTACCTCAAGTTAAAAAAAAAAAAAAGCTTCCTTGCATAGCTGCTACCGTTTTAAGTTACAGTTATAACGGAACTGCACTTTTCGCGTTTTTTTGGTGAAGTAAAGAAGAAACGGGCAGGAAAAGCTGCCTGAAACATCACTCGCTACCTGTGCAGCCTGCAAAGCCTGGCTGCAGAGAAAGCGAGGGAGAGCA